AGAATATTAGGCTCAATTACTACAAAGAATGAACTAGGCTCTGAAAGTTTTAATGTCCCTGGTACCCCAGCTAGTACATGGGGAGGTCACTTTGTGATGGCTGAACCGATATTTTCTTCACCATTTCACATGGGATGTGAACAAGAAGGATTTCTCCTGCTGAGAAGAGGACATAGGAGCCTGGAGCCCATGAAGAGGGAGAAGGACTCACTTAAAACAGTTAATATGTGATTGCCTAGCTGGAAGAGGGCAAGCTGCCATTGAGAAGGGATTGATAAAATGTACAAAGTGTAACGAAGTCAGAGCCCCCCCAAAAAACCCCAACATTCAAGGTTAAAATTATGTGAATAATGATGTGCATTCGTTATTTTAATGTCTTCCAAGTGCATTTCATTTTGAGTGATATACTCAGATAGCACACATGTTAAGGTATAATTGGAAAAACATGCAGGAGAAGGGCTGAATTCAAAGAATAAACATACAGCTGCGAGGGGGTTAGGAGTCAGAGGGGTAAGCATATGCCCCGGCCCCCCGGGATCTCATTAGTGCATGAGTGACCATACATGTAGAGGCTAAATGAAGCTCACTGTTTGCAAAGACCCACAGTAAATGAGACAATGACGAATCAATAGTAATTAAGCCTATAAGTCCTTATTGACCCAGATGTCTGAAACTAAATGCTCTGTGCTGAGATTCCTTAAGAGGCGGAATGAAGATTTATAGGCACATGCATCTTTTTTAAAGAGAAGGGGGAGAGACTTTAAGAGCAGAGATGCCACTCTAAAGTGGAGGGTAGCTAGAATTAATGCAGCCTCAACTTCTGGAAGGAAAGGGTGTAAATCTGATTCCTTTTGGATTATGTGCAGGTAGAGCTGTGGGATGGAAAATCAGGATGTCACCTTATTCTCAGGCATATTATCCGAGGCCTACCATTTATGGAAGTGCACAGGATCCTTTACAGAAGCAGAGGATCAAGGACTGCAGCCTCCTATATGGATTGAGGCTCAGTGTCAAGAAGACAAAGATTCTCACCACTGGACCAATTAGCAGCATCAGGATGGATGGTGAAGAGATTGAGATTGTTCACAGCTTTAGCTTGCTTAGCTCCACAGTCAACACACTCGGCACCGGTAGCCAGGAAATTAAAAGACGTATTGCAATGGGAAAGTCTGCTGTTAGGGACCTCTCCAAAGTACTGAAGAGCAATGGTGTCACTCTGGAGACTAAGGTGCGTCTGAAACAGGCCATGGTCTTTGCTATCACTTGTATGCATCAGGGAGTTAGACAGTGACTAAGGAGGATAGAAGTAGAATTGATACCTTTGAGCTGTGGTGCTGGAGAAGAGTATTGAGGGTACCATGGACTGCTAGGAAAACAAACAGATTCATTCTGGAAAGGGTTAAACCGGGCGGCTCCCTGGAGGCAAGGATTATGAGGCTCCATCTAACACACTTTGGACATGTTGTGAGGAGAGACCGGTCCTTGGAGAAGGACATCATGCTTGGTAGGGAGGAGGGACAGAGCAGGAAGGGAAGGCCCTCTATGAGGTGGATTGATTCAGTGACTGGGGTAATCGGAAGGGGTGTTTTGGAGACGGTGCGATTGGCACAGGACAGAGCAGAATTTAGGGCTGTTGTACATAGGGTCGCTATGAGTCGCAAGTGACTCAATGGCATGTAACAACAACAACAAAAATAAAATCTTCATAACACAGGGTTTAGCAAATGATTGGACTAATGATTTCTGACCTAAGATACCTGTAGTGGCCTAGTGATAAAAAACTTCAGTGCAATCCCTAAAGCACATGGTTCAAATCCAGCAGCTAATTCCATGGGAGAAGCCATTAAACACCTCTGAAAACCTGCTGGAGGGTCAGCTATCGGTTGGTTCTGACTCAAAGGCACACAAAGACAACAAACTATAGAAAACACATAGCTTTAAAATCACTCAAAGGAGTTTAAATTTGGACTTTATCACATCTCATCATTTCCTTGAGGTTTTTTTTTTCCCTGTTGTTAATGCTCTTGAGTTGGTTCCAACTCAGAACAGCGACATGCAGTATTGCAAATAGGACCAGAATGAGTTACTGGATCTTCATTGGCTGATTATCACAAGCAGATTGCCAGGGTTCAATGGAAACTTGTTCAACACCCATTGCTGTTGTTGTTAGGTGCTGTTGAGTGGGCTCTGACTCATAGACTCATAGCTACACTGTGAACAGCAGATCTGAACCTTGCCCCATCCTGCACCAACAGATCTGAACCCTACCCTACCCAGCACCAGAATATTTCTGATATGCTTAAGCCCGTTAAAATAACCATGTCAATCCATCTTGTCTTCCTATCTTTCTCTGACCATCCACCTTGATGGAGAAAACAGACAAACAAACAAATGTCTTTTTCCAAGGACTGGCACTTCTTGACAAAGCATGTGAAGTTTCACTATCCTTGCCTCTAAGGAGCACTCTGGTTGTACTTCCTCCAAGAAAGACTTGTTTATTCTTTTAGCAGTCCATGGGCTATTCAGTACTCTTCTGCAACACTACAGCTCAAAGGCATAAATTCATTCTGTCATCCTGAATCGTAGTCCCACTTTCAGATGCATAGGGAAGCAATTGAAAATGCCATGGCCTGGATCAGGAACACCTTTGTCTTTCAACTGACATCATTGCTTCTTAGTATTTCAGAGAAGTTCCTTGATAGCAGATACTACTCATTATCTTATGTCCTGCCACTCTACTATTTGGTAGTAAATAGTATTTGCCAGTCTACTAAATGGGTCTATTAGCTCTAACAGTTTTTTGGTGTTTTGTTTTGTTTTTATTGAGTCCTTGTGGTTTTCTGTGTACACTATCATACCATCTGCATATACCGACAGAAGAATTTTACTTCTGAATTCGTCCTTTCCCTCCTATTAAAGGCATGTTAATGATGCTTCCTTTCTTGGGCTGTGAAGGAAGGCATGACACACAATGCATGTTCAGGGAATGGCAATTGTTACCTTATTTCTCCAGTAATATAGTACTATTTTATTTCTACTCATTCTAAAGCAGGAGATTTAGGCAGATTTGAATGAGGACTCGCTATAACAAGCCACAAATTTCTTAGTAAATAGGACTGTCCTTTCTATGTTAACATACATAATCCATATGTATACACACATTCTCACACTTATGTACACGTTGTGCATTTACACTGATATGCTTTGCTTTTTTGTGTACAATATAGGCATTCTACATAAAATTATTATTTAATAAAAGACAAAGAAAAAGTTTGGAAACTAATACTCTAACATTAAGGTTTTTATTTGTTGGCTTTTATACTTAAACTTACCTTAGAAAATTTTCAGGAATTCTTCTAAAATATTTAAAAACCTTGAATAAAATAATATTAGATGTCTTAGAGAGCTCCAGTGGCTGAGTGTTAAAGAATTGCATTGCCAATACAAAAGTATATGGTTCAAATCCACCAGCTGTTTCACGGAAGAAAGATGAGCAATTATTTTCTCTTATGACTTATTGCCTCTAAAAAATTCCCTGGTGTGTTAACTATGGGTCAGTTCCAACTCAGTGGTCCACAACAACAACAGATATCTTAGATACTAGTCTTTCTTGCACATTGATTGTTGGTATGTCTTTTATGACGTTGTTGTTGTGTACCATCGAGTCTCTTGTGACTCATAGCGACCTTATGTACAACAGCCCTAAACTCTGCTCTATCCTATGCCAATCACACTGCCTCTGACACACCCATCCAATTACCCCAGTCACTGAATCAATCCACCTCGTAGAGGTTCTTCCCCTCTTGAGCCGTCCTTCCACCCTCCCAAGCATGATGACCCTCTCCAAGGACCTGTCCCTCCTTACAACATGTCCAAAGTATGTCAGATGAAGCCTCAGAATCCTTGCCTCCAAGAACAGCCTGGCTTAACCCTCTCCAGGATGAATCTGTTTGTTTTCCTAGCAGTCCATGGTACCCTCAATACTCTTCTCCAGCACCACAGCTCAAAGGAATCAATTCTCCATCTGTCCTTCCTTGTCATTGTCCAACTCTCTGATGCATAACAAGTGATTACAAAGACCATGGCCTGTATCAGACGCACCTTAGTCTCCAGAGTGACACCATTGCTCTTCAGTACTTTATGACATTACTAATGTATTTAACTGCTAATCCTACATTTTTAGGGGCATCAGTGAGAAGCAGTAGAGATACCAAGCTCTGTCACTCAAGTTTTCTTCTACAATCAATTGATTCAGAACATTGAAAAGAAAGAACCTTTAAAGCAGGAGAAAATAGCCAATTTTATTCTTTCAGAATTAACTTTGTGAAGTAGGTATCATTATATGGATTTTAGGGATGTGTAAACTGAAGTGCAGAGAAGTTAAGCTATGAACCAAGTGACCCAGCTAGGGTAGAACCAAGATCAACTCTCCTAATTCCTTTTCTTAGTTGCACTCACTATGCTCAATCTTTTCCCTTAACAAACTCCCATCCTTTATCTGGAAACTTATATTTGTCTCCCTTTGCCATTATCATCATTAGTACAACAATTATGAATACATATTTTAAAAATCCTTTACATATGTATAGTATTATACAGTTTACAAAATAGCATATCTTCTTTGATCTTCACAATAACCCTATGAGGTAAGTTGAATAGGGATTATGATACCTGTTTTTACAGATGAGAAAGGAATGGTTCAGAAAGTTTAAATAACTTTCTTATGGCCGCCCAGATATAGCAGGATTGGTTAAAGCAATTCTTGAAATCTAGGCCTTTCCATCAGGACGTTATACCTTTTCTTGGTCATAGTAAACATAATTTTAGGATAGAGCATGCTAATTTTATTGAGTTTGGAGTAGTTTCTTTGCTGCATCCTTTGGGGCCCTTCTTTCTTTCTTCAGGCTGATATGGAAGTACAAATGGTTTCTTTTTGCAGAAAAATTTGCTCTCCGACCCTCCCCTCCCCCTTTTAAAAACAAAATCCACTTCTCTTCCAGATGCCAGAGTATATATGCATATTTGAACAGTCACCTGGATCTAATTAAGAAGGCTCAGCCTGTGGGTTTCCTCACTGTTGATTTACATGTTTGGCCAGATTTCCACGGCAACCGGTCTCCCTTAGCAGATCTGACACTGAAGGGCATGGTAAGTAACAGCCAGGCCTTGCATGAAGGTGAAGGGCTGCAAAATTTGGAGCAAACAAAGAGAGAAGAAAGAAAGAAAGAAAAGAGTAACACCAAAACACAAACCAGCAGCTCATAAGCTGCTTGCAGATTTCTTGCTGTTGTGAAAGTTGGTGGTGCTCTGGAAGTTCTCACTGTTTGGGGACCAACCGTAAGAGCATTAAAAATAGTATTCCTTCTGTTTAGAGATTGTCTCTTTGTCTCATTAAGAGCATGAAGTTGTGAGTCTTGTATTTACATGAGTTTTTAAACTCATGTTTTTCATCGCCCTGCAGTTACATCAAAGACAAACTCATTGCCCTGCAGTTGAAAGTCATAGCTGACCTTCCATTGGATTCTCAAAACTGTGTGTCACATGGGAGAAAATGGTCCTTCTTTGTTCTGTGAAGCACCTGGTGGATTAGGTTTAGGACTGGCAGTGCAACTTCCTATAGACTGCTCCACCAGGGTTCTCTTTTCCCTCTAGACTGCCTGGCAAATTGGTGGTAAATAATTATCAGTGATACTCTTTAACCCTGATTTATCAGTGAAAAGCCTTACCGAGAAACCTTAGTATGCATCTCACCAAGGATCCCTCGAGGTACAAGAGACAAGTGCTTGGCTTCAAACAGAAAAGTGAATGGTTTGAACCCATCACATTCTCTGCAGGAAGAAAAAGACTGGTGATCTGCTTGCATAAATGCTACAGCCAGAGAAATCCCGAGGGGCAACTGGGCTCTTTCCTGTCAGTAACTGTGAGTCAGAGGCAGCTTAGCAACACAAAGCTGAAGCAACAGCATGGGCTTACACAGCTACATGGCTCCCTAAATGGCAGACCTTTCCAGAGAGTTCACGTTCACACTCCTGAGATTCAGATGAAACTTCTTTTCCCTTTTTTAAAATTGTGACTTTAATGAAAATTTACAGAAAAGTTGGATTTTCATTCATTCATGGTTGCACATTTTCCTCCCTACTACCCTCAGTTCACTTAAAAAAAAATTCTTCATTATCGCGTAATTTCCTCTCTCCTCCCACTTCACCCAGTTCACTTTCCTATGCACCTCTTAGTCTGAACCGTTGTCATACAAATAATGCCTAATCATATATTCCTTTTAAACAGTTCTTTCCTTCCTGTCTTGGTGACAGTAGGGCCCAACCTGGCCTTAAGATTCTAAGGCTTCCTTCCTGTCAAGGGCAGGGTAAATGTAGTGGGAGCTGCCTAAGCTGAGGTCTCACATGCTGGAGGCCCCAGTGTGACTGGGTGAAGGAAAGCGGTATGTTGTTTATAGCTGCCCTCAGACTGGTGACTGGTTAACAGTGATCTCCTTCACAATGAGATGGGGTTTTCACTAACTGAATTTTCAGAAATAGGTTGCCAAGTATTTTTCCCTGGTCTCATTGAGCCTGAAAGTGCCATGCAAACCTGTTCGGCCACTGCAGCAACACACAAAACTCCACTGACCGAGAAAGGGTAACTGTGGGTGAACTGTATTGATCATAATCGAATGCAGGCCTCCTGCATAAAAGGTGATAATTCTACCCCAATCCACAGCTGCTCGTAATAGCAGCGTAGCCACTCAGAAAAGATGACAGAGCTTGGCAAGGATGGATCAAGCTGGAGAAGCCGAGCTAAGCCTCTGGGGTAAGGTAGTGGCATTCTCACTCACTCACTGCAGTGTATTCAGAACCAACGTTTAGCTGACCCTCCCGAAGGTTTCGGGGACAATAATGCATGGAGAAGATTGCCCATAAATGTCCCGGGGAGCTGCTTATGGAGTCACACCACGACAGAGGAGTGGCCTTTGGGTTAGCAGCCCAGCTCCTACAGACTACGCCACCTGAGTTCGCCTAAGGGATCTGGAGAGGTTAGAAGTAAGAAAATTGAGTGGGTGGGGAGAAAAGTGCAACAATGAATGAATTCCAAAATCTCTGTAGATGTACACTGAAATGAAAAATAAATGAATTAATTTATTAAAACAAAACAAAAAAAAAACCTTGAAGGATATTGTCAAGAGGGATCTGTCATTTGAAAAGGATATTCTGGGAAAGACAGAAAGTCAGAAAAAGTGAGGAAGACTCTCGGAAAGATATATCAACACAGTGACTAATAATGGATAGGAGCATATCATGATGAGGAGGTTGGTTTAGGCTAGGGCATTGTTCAGATATATTGTTCACAGTGCCACAATGAATTGTATGTGACTTGATGGCAACTAATAAAAACAAACAATCCTAATGGGGAAAAAAAGAAAGAAGAAAATGTTAAGGAAGTTGAGGCATATTCACACAATGGAATATTATGCTGCATTGAAAAACAAGGAACTCAAGCAATATTATTCAAAATGGGTGACCCTGGAGGACATTAAGCTGAGTGAAATATCTCAGCCACAAAAAGGACAAACACTGCATGGTGCCACTGTTGTAGAATGAGGCTGACATCAGGGCGGGGGTAAGTCTGAGAAAAAAGGGGATAAATTATGTATACTGCATTGAAGCCGATGAGGGAGATAATAGTTTGAAAAGAACATATTTTAGGGTATTATGATTATCATAAGACTTTGGAATGAGGGTTGCAGAGTGGAGTACACTCAGGGTGGGGGTGGAAGGGTGTGGGGGGATTGTATACCAATGAAGAAGTTTTTCTTTTGTTTTTCAAGTAGCAGCACGAAGTGGGGGTGCAGGTGGGGTGGGCGGGAAGAAAAGTGCAACAATGAATGAATGGAAATCCACAATCTCTGTAAATGTTCGTTGACATTAATAATAATAAAAATAATAAAAAGAAAATGGCAAGGAAGTTGAGAAGTAGAGTGTGAGGTCAGACGAGGTAGAGGGATTTCAAGATGGAGGCTGTGAACAATACACGGTTTGTGCGTAGAGGCTGTATGGCACTGGAATAAACCTGATTTCAAGAACTATAGGACTGAAAGGTTGGTTTATAGTTATTTTTGCTGAGACTTGTTGGAAATTTTTATGATGCCAAAAGGAAGACCTGACGTTTACTTTCATTACCTAGTTGACATAATCAAGGTTTACCACTAAAACAATGTTATGGAGAGAAGAACACAAAATTGAACACAGGACAAGTTATGTCTGTGTGAATTGTGCTTACACAGCATGTCATGAGCTTGGCCTCCCTGTTGGGTCTGTAGAGGCAGAAAAGGAAGGTCCTGAGAAGTCTGTACGGCAATAGGCTGAAGCTAGGAAACAGCTCTTTCAAATATCCATGTCTCTGGGTACAAACAGAGTTCATAAGAAGTTTATGTTTGGAATGGGTGTACGAGTGTCTTAATAAGAGCAAATTTATCTGAATCTAACTGCATAGACAGATAGACATTTCAAGTATTAACAAAAATATAGCCAATTCTTAAAATGACTTCAAAACTAGACAAAGTTGCATCATAGAACTATCCTGTGTTCTGGGGCCCTTTGCTTGCCACGAGTTGTAGTACCAGCTTCAACATCCAACACCATGTCAGATGCAGTCAGGTGCCATGTCTTCAAGTGTCTGTCTTCTATTTCTAATACCCAAACCTGACTTAATAATTGGTATCATTCAATGAAGGATAAGCACAGGACATGCATTACCGATTGAGTGAGTGAAAGCCAATTTCTTTGTAACCTTTCATTCAAATCATAATGTAAACTTTTTTTTTTAAAAAAAAGGATATTCCAATATACTCACTCATTGCTATAAGTCAAAACCGGCTCCCACTGACTCTCTATTTGGCTTCCAAGCCGCCAGATCACCTTCGAGGGTTGTTGTTCGTCTTCCTCCTGAGGTAGTGCTGCCAGAGAGGTGTGGCCCTGGGTTAGCCCTTGAGTAAAGGGTGTCGTAGGGACTATTCCAACAGAAGGGACCAAACTGTAGAGTGAAATCCCAAACTAGACAATGGGATGTTTTGAGGAATGTCCACCTCTGTAGAATGAACGTAGACTCGCCACCGGAGACTTCTTGCATGAGGGCCTCTGTTCCATTTTGTGTCAAAAATCTTAGTATGTTTACTCATTTTAAAAATTATATCATTTTACAAAGTTGCCTCCTGTGTTGTTGTTAGTTGCCATTGAGTCTGCTTTGACTTGCAGTGACCCTGTGAACAACAGATCTGAACCAAGCCCTATCTTGCTCCATCAGCACTTTCTCTGCCAGGTTCAAGCCCAGTGCTGTGGTCATTCTGCCAGTCCATCTCACTGAAGTCTCATTTGCTGATGCTCTACCTTTCCAAGTAGAACATCCTTGTCCAAAGACTGGCCCCTCCTGACAGCATGAACAAAGTATGTGAGAAAAAGTTTCGCCAGCCTTACCTCTACGTAGCACCTGGTGTATCCAATATTCTTCTCCAACATCACTGTTCAAAGGTGTGGAATTTTCTTCTGTCATCCTTATTCATTGTCCAGCTTTCAGATGCATAGGAAGCAAATGAACATTTTTATTTTGAATTGAAAGTAACTGGCACATTTTAGTCTTTAAATTGATATTCTTGCTCTTTCATACTTCGGAGACAGAATATTTTCCTAAAGCAACATTTCTTTTGATTTCTGTTTGGTTGTTTTTATTACTTTTAATAAAAGTTTAGAGACTTATGGTTTCCATTCATGCCTTGTTGCACTTTTCTCCCTGCCCATCCCCTCCCTCCAGTTCGCTCTTCTCTTTGAAAAGTAAAATTCTGTCATTGTTATACAATCCCTCCCCCCCAAGTCCACTCCACTATGCAGCCTTCGTTCTGGACTCCTGTCCTGACAATAATACTTAATCATATATCCCTTTTAAACAGTTCTCGTCCTCATCTGTTTCAATGTAGTATACATTAACTGCTATTACCATGGGTGTTCATTGTAGATCCAAGTAAGATGAACTAGTTGAGAATTTCAATCTTGTCCATCTATCATGAAGTTGGTAAGGATTTTTGTTTTCTGTATGTTAAGTTATAACCCATATTGAATTGTAGTCATTGATCTTCTGCAGTAAATGATTCAAATATTCTT